GCGTCCTGCAAGGGCCCCACGTTACCCGGGGCCTTCTTTTTACTCCCTATGTATTTAAAAAAGGACTTCTTGTTGTCCTTAATCCGGGAAGCTAGTCCCAGTTCCATCTCTGCCTTGGCCTTCCTAACTACTCCCCTACACCCCCGAGCAACTGCCGAATAGTCCTCCTTGGTGATGACCCATCCTTTCCATTGGGAGTAAGCCTTCTTTTTAGCAAGGAGACATTCCTGGATGTTTTTGGTGAGCCATGGAGGCTTGTATGATCTCCTGCCCCCTTTGATCCTCGTTGGGATTACCTTCTTTTGGGCTTGGAGGATCGTCTCCTTAAGGAGCGACCACTCCCCTTGAACACCCGGCTCCCCTCCCCTCTGAGACTTCAGCGCTTCTCCAACTATCCTCCTCCAACTATCCTTCTCCAACTATCCTCCAGTCTTTAAAGGATGCCTTTAAAACAGTGGTTCTCAACCTTTGGTACTTTACGTGTACCACCTGCTGATTGATGCGGCAAACGCGAAACCGGAAGTCCCACCATGGCAATTCCGGTTTCGCTGCCGTGAGCCAAGTCCCACTTCTTCCTCGCAGGCCACTGCTTGGAGCAGAGCAGCTTAGGCAGGGCCCCCTTCCCTGTCCCGCAGCACACTGATGCTGGGGAGGGGAAGCCCCAGCACACAGGATGCGGCGGGAGGGGCGGCCACCTTCCAGCCAGCCCGAACAGGCAAAGACGCCTCCAACCCACCAGGCGCGGGGGCGGGCCAGACTCAAAGCACGGCACCTGCGTACCCCCTGCCCACGTCTCGCGTACCGCCAGGGGTGCACGTACCACGGGTTGAGAAACACTGCTTTCAAAGATGCAGTATAGCGTAGAATTCATAGAATTTATGAACTGGCTCCCAGAATTATGGAGGCGAATCAGGTTTCTCAACCTGCATCACTGAGGAGTCTGAACTAGTTGAACATAACAATGTTATATATGGCTTTAGCATGAATTCATCTCTCAAGTTCCACAGAAGAGGTGATTGGACTCCGGTGGACAACCCCATGCAAAGCATTAAAAAGTCATGAGTCCAGCCTTGGAAAGTGGTGAGAGACTGACTATAAATACAGGCCCCTGGCAGATGTGCAGGTGAAGGCACGATGGGATCTGATGCAAGATCCCCAGCATTGCGCTTCCTGCCATAGAACACATGCACGGCAGGAGGTGTGATTATGGGATTCAGCATCCAATCCCATCGTGCCTTACTGCTGGTGCTGAGGGAGCCTGGGAGCATGATACGGGGCTCTCCCTGCACCGACAAGTAGTAAGCAAGTTTGCAGCTCCCCATCAGCTGATGGGGCTCCCAGCCAGGGACCCCAGCCTGGCCCCATCTTCAGTTCATGGCATGATAGGAACCAGCCACAGAGTTATTGCACATTTTTATGTAATAACTTCATGGCTTATTCCTTGTTTTTTCATGCCTTTAATTAAATTAACATGTGGCAGGTAAGAGTTTAGATATGATTAACTCATTAATTACATCTTAAATGTAATGTGTGCCAGGGGCCTAAACATCATCAAATTGCAGGGTCAGGATTGTGGTTCTTGGGTGGTTAGGTTGTGCGCACATTTTCCAAGCTTTTCTTCCGCAACCAGGAGCAATAGAAATTCATATTTAATTAGAGCCAAGGTGCCCATTTACTCATTAGATGCCAAAGTATGACTTTGAATAAAAGAGGAAATACCACAATTCTCTTGATAAATCAGAGTGCCTATTAATGCCTTGTATTCCATCTTCAAATATTTTACCTCCTTTTCCTGGTCCTGTATCCAGGTTGTTCAGCCTGTGCAAGTTATGCATCTGAGTTGATGTATCTGTATCTCTTTAAAGTTGACTTCCTGGATATCAACAACCAAGGTTCTGTTCAGGACAGAGCATAGTTTCATAGTTGGTAGGGTCGGAAGGGACCTGAGCAGATCATGGACTCAAACGACTCCGGCTAGGTGATTATCCAACCTCCTTTTGAAGACCCCCAGGGTAGGAGCCAGCACCACTTCTCTTGGAAGTTCGTTCCAGATCCTAGCCGCCCTGACGGTGAAGTAGCGCCTCCTGATGTCTAGTCTGAATCTACTCTCAGTCAACTTGTGGCCATTATTCCTTGTTACCCCCGGTAGTGCCCGGGGGAACAGGGGCTCCCCCAATGCCTGCTGGTCCCCCCTGGTTAGTTTGTAACAGGCCACTAGATCCCCTCTCAGCCTTCTCTTGTGAAGGCTGAACAGGTTCAGGTCCCGTCGCCTCTTCTCGTATGGCCTGCCCTGCTGCCCCCTGACCATGCGGTTGGCCTCCTCTGGACCCTCTCCATGCTGTCCACATCCCTCCTGAAGTGCGGTGCCCAGAACTGGACGCACTACTCCAGCTGCGGCCTGACCAGTGTCGCATCAAGGGGGAGGATCACCTCCTTGGACCTGCTCGAGATGCATCTGTAGATGCACGACAAGGTACGGTTGGCCTTCCTGACCGCGTGCCCACACTGCCGGCCCATGTTCATTTTGGCATCAGTGATGACACCAAGATCCTTTTCTGCCTCTGCCCTGACAAGAAGGGAGTTCCCAGCCTGTAGGTCTGCTGCTGGGTCTTCCTCCCCAGGTGCAGCACCTTGCACTTGTCAGTGTTGAAACCCATCCTGTTCTCATCCGCCCACCCCTGGAACCTGTCCAGGTCCGATTGCAGCCTGTCCCTCTCCTCCAGCGTGCCCACTTCTCCCCACATCTTAGTGTAGTCTGCAAATTTGAACAAGGTGCTTTTCACCCCCTCATCCAAGTTGCTGATGAAGATGTTGAACAGCACGGGTCCGAGGACCGAGCCCTGGAGGACCCCACTGCCCACATCCCTCCAGGTCGAGAAAGACCCATCCACCACCACACTCTGGGTGTGGCCCTCCAGCCGATTGGTGACCTATCTGACTGTGTAGGCATTGACGTCACAGTCGCCTAATTTTTTAAATGAGAGTGGGTGAGAGACAGTGTCGAAGGCTTTCCTAAAGTCCTGAAAGACTACGTCCACCACGATACCTGCATCCAAGTATTTTGTGACCTGGTCATAGCATACCTTCTGCATTTAGATAAATTACAATATTTGAGTAATCTTCTCTTTTAAGGACACACAAGTCCAAAGAAGTGGTTTAAAGTTGGCTTTTGCAGCTTGTTTTATTGCAAAATATGTTGTTTCTTCAAACTTGTTCATTTTGTCCTTGCTAATCCTCTATTTAATGATTTTTCTGAATTCAGAGCTCTCTTTGACTATGACAAGACTAAAGACAGTGGCCTTCCCAGTCAGGGACTGAACTTCAAATTTGGCGACATCCTCCATGTCATCAATGCTTCTGATGATGAATGGTGGCAGGCACGGCAGGTGACGCCAGATGGAGAAAGTGATGAAATTGGAGTTATCCCAAGCAAGCGCAGGTATAGTACATTATATATACATCTGCTCTGAAGTTTTTGCTGTTAAAACTGTGCTTGTATTTATGCATAAACAAACTAAGCAGTCCTCTCAAATTAATTGGTCCTCACCACTGCCTCCAAACAGTGGTACTGTAAGACGTTAAAAGCTGACTGTTCAAATCAAGTATTTGTCAGATGCATTTGTTGCCGAATGATTTGGGGACAGGTCTGAAGACAGGAAAAAAAACAAAAGCTTTGAGTACTGTTTTTGTCTTTCAGACTTGTGGGATAAAAAAAATGGGCTGACTAGTGATTCTAGCAAAGATTAGGGATTTTAAAAATCTTTTCTTTTTTTTCTTTCTTCTTTGTTTAAGTTTTTCACTGTAGTTATGTCAGTTTTTTGGATATGCCTTGCAATACATTTAACAGTGCCATCTGTGCATAGTTCAGTGTTTTGCTCTTTGTGGTAAATAATGCTACATCATTTATACTGTATTGCATCATTTATACTAGACTGGGACTTGAGGACCTGGTTTCTCTCCCAGCTAAGCAACTAGCTTGCTGTGTGTCCTTGCACAAGTAACTTTACCAGTGTGCCTGTTTCTCCATCTGAAATAATGGCAATGAGGGGTGCCTGTACATGGATGGGGGGCTGCTCTGATGTGTGGTATTTATAGCACGTCAAAGCGGACTTGATTAATTGAGTCTGCTGAAGCGTGGTAATTAACGGTGCTCCAGCAGCCTCCTGTGTCTCGTGTATCAGCATCCCTGCACTTAAAAATGGTGGCGGGGGTGCTTGAACTAAAGCTTGCTGAATGAGCGTTAGTCCAGGCACCCCTGTTGCCATTTTTAAGGATGGAGACACTGATACGTGAGACACAGTGGCACTTTGATTAGTTACCCCCTTTTTGGGAAAGTTACCCCCCTATTTGAGAAAGGGTCATAGAATAGTGTAGCCCAGGACCCTCCAAATGGAGGCCTGCAGGCCACATCCCGCTGCTGAGGCGGCCGGGGACTCTCTTATTCTACCAGTTCCCCCTCACCTCCCCCTCCAGAGCACGTGTAAAAGTGCCCAAGGATACCAGCCTCCTTTGAAAAGTCACTGAAATCTGCTGAAGAACAGCACTTGATTATGATCAGGATATAGATGAAGTTTATCTGGCAGTGATTTTCCTGCGTAACTGAAGAGAAATACGTTGCATGTCTGCTTGTGGAGGGAGCCCTATTTACAACCAAGTGTCCATTTGTAGTCTAAAGTATTACTGGGAAAATGAAGCTTTGGAGTTCAAACTATGCATCCAGTTTATATTTCCATGAATCTCACCTGCCCTCGTTTTCACAGAGACCATGGACCTTACCCTAGGCCATAGTCAGGTGTTAGCTACTACCCTGTTTTACAGATAAGTTAACAGGTTACACAGGGACACTGGAGGCACAGACCAGGGTTAGACTCTAAGGGCAAAGTCCTCTCCCTGTTGAAGTCGCTATCAGCTCCCATCAGCTTCAGTATATCCAGGATTCTGCCTTAGTCTCCAGAAGACCACAGTGCTTTTCAGATTTGTCTTTGACCACTAAACCGCTCGTTTCCCACGGCTAGGGAGAAAAGCCAGAGTTCAGGGTCTACAACAGGGCTGGCCAAGTTCTGAGCAGCCAGGGGCCACACACCTCGTGGGCTCCCTGGGACCCCTTCTGAGCAGGTGGCAGGCTTGCCAGCCCCGTCCTGTCATGCTGCTCTGCCCCGGAGACTCCGGTTGTCTCAGCAGCAGGATGTGGCCCGCAGGCCTCCGGTTGCACAGTCCGGGGCTACAGTATTCTATGAACCTTTCCCAAATCGGTGGGTAACTTACTGAAAAGCCGCATAGCAAGTCTTTGTGAATGCCAAACTAATATGGACTGGCTGCTGCTATACCTAAACTGCTAGTGACCATGGTGGGGATCTGAAGCTCCAGGTTTCAGAGCCTGCTGTTGACTCCTGTATGTGGTTGCATATGACATTATTTAGAACTGTTTTATTTCACTCACACAATGGGAAAATATTCATTAAGCACACTTTGGTTTCAAGAACTGTTCATTATGGCATAGCACACCAGAATGCAGGTGAAAAATACATGCATGGATGGTAAGACTATCCAGGGTTATAGCTAATACTAAGATACTTTTGAAAGAGAGTTTATATTTCATTCTTCAGTGGTTATAATAGTATCTAGACCTAAAGATTTTTTTTTTTTTGAAGAATCTAGCACGTGCCATAATTAAAGACCAGGTTTATAATAAATGTAATCAGTCTGTTATGAAAGCCTGGTCTTTACAGCCTTCTTGAAGGAGAAAGGCATAAAATGTGGGTCAAGAGGTGGGGTGTCTGCTGCATTGTCTGCCACAAGCAGCTCTGTCTCACTTGAAGGTGAGCACTAATTACCACAGGCGTTGGTCTCATCTTGTTCCACCCTGCCTTTTCCATTCCTTTAGCCTGTCCTTTGGGTCGCTGCAGTCTTGTTGAGTCATTTAGAAGGGTGCACTCCCATGGGCTAGGGACAGACATTCAAAAAGCCGAAGCCTGAATTGATTCAATCTTTGCACGTTAGTCTAGCCTGCATAGATTGAACCAATTTGCAAGTGGACAGACATTCCCTTTTGACTCAAGAAATGCAGCCTCATGCCTGCAGTGGCTCAGGCCAGAAGCGGGGGAGTGCTAGAGCGAGGCCTCTGCTGGAGGGAAGGTAAGCTGAGGGGAGGGGCGTGGCCAGGCCTGGGCAGGGGGCTGCCCCCAGTATGATTGGGGAGGGGTTTAAACCCCCACCCTGGCCTGTAGCAACCGCAGCTGGGGTCTGCCTGGAGGGGAAGGGGGGAATCGGTCCCTGTCGGGTCTCTAGCGCTCCCAGCCCCACTTATTCACTGGCTGGCAACAGGAGCAGGGGTGGGGCCAGACCCTGGTAGCCTAAGGGGAAGCGGGGGTTTAATCCCCCCATTGTAGGGGTGGGGCAGTGCAGGCACCAATAGGCTCCACTCATGCACCCGGGGCTGTGGTGGCCAGATGCCAGTAGCCTGAGGGGAGGGGGGGGTAATCCCCCCATTGCAAGCAGCAGTGGCGGGGGCACCAACATAGCACCCTGGGCCAAGTCCCTCCAAGGAGCGGCCAGCTGCCCAAGGGGAGGTGGGGATGTGACCTGGCTGCAGAGGGGTGGGGAGGAGCTGGGGCTAGGTACAGAGCCCAACTCACCACTGCCTCTCACTGCTACAGCACGGCCTGGGCTGGAGCAACCCCAGGGGGTGGGGGTTACCACCTGCCGCCTCCCACCTCCAGCCCCGCACGGGGGCCATGGTTTGCAGGTGGGCTGCAGCTGCAATGCAGTTCCCCGCCCCCTTCCTCTCCTGCCAGTGGCGGAGCATATTATCGCGGTGGACAGAAGTGAAGCATCTGTCACCCACTGCCCGCTCATGCTGGGGCCAGGCGCTCGGGGCGAGCTGCTGTGGGCCACGGCCATGGGCAGCAGCAGGGGGAGGCAATTGAGTAGGATGACAGGTGCCTCACCTCTGCCTGCTGCAATGGTTTTCTCTGCCGCCATTGCTGAGAGAGGGAGGGGCGGGCTTCTACAGGACAGTTGCTGCCTATACTCCTGGGCTGTGGGGCCGGACCGGGCTGCTGCGATCCATTGCCTCCCCCTACTACTGCCTACATCCCTGGCCCGCTGCAGCCTGCCCTGAGTGGCCGGTGCTGCTCTGAGCAGGTGGCGGGTGACAGATGCTTCACCTCTGCCTGCCACGATAGTTTGCTCTGCTGCTGCCTCTGGGCGCTGCGCTGCAGCTGCAACCTGCCTGCAAACCATGTGGTGGGGACTGCCCCCTACCCCCGGGGGCCACCCCAGCCCAGGCTGCACTGCCACAGTGGGAGGCAGTGTAACTAGCCACGGCTCCCCGCCCTTGCAGCCAGGTCACAACCTCCCTCCCTGCAGCCGGCTGGCTGCTCCTCGGAGAGACTCCGCCCAGGGCATCATGTTGGTACCTGTGCCGCTGCTGCCTGCAATGGGGGGATTAACCACCCCCACCCCGCTTCCCCTCAGGCTACTGGTGTCTGGCCACCACAGCCCCGAGTGCATAAGCAAAGCCTACCAATGCCTGTGCTGCCCCCCCTCCCTCCCCCGTGCAGTGGAAAGATTAAACCCCACTTCTCCCCAAGCTACCAGGGTCTGGCCGTGCCCCTGCTCCTGCCGCTGGAGCAGTGCGGGGCTGGGGATGCCTGCCAAGAGCTGCTGCCCCCTCACCAGGCAGACCTGGCAGCAGTCTGAAGCAGAGTTTCCCATTGCCACTCTTTTCTCAGCCAGTCAGAGCAGCGATAGTGCTCTGGCTAGGGAGGAGAGGGGTGGGGCTAACCCTGCCTGGCTGGAACAGACAGCTCAGCCCAGGGCGGCAGAGCATGCTGGGATGCTGGAGGACCCTGATTTAACTTAAACCAGAAAAGGGTCTGGGACACAAGTTCCATAAACTGGTTTGACCTCAGTCGGTTAAGTCTGATACTACATTAAACCAAGTTTATCTCAAACTGGCTTCGACCATTTTGAAACTGGTTTATGTGCACTGAACTTACTTTCTGTTATGGTTTTAAACCAATTTCTTATGACTTAAACCGGTTTATGTGTAACCTCTGTCCCCAGCCTTGGGTAACATAAGTAGATGGGGGATAATCAGTGGCGGCAGCAATCCCTTGGTTCAAGGATGATCTCTACCCCACCTCGTTGATGGGTCTCAAGGAGACAGTGGGGGATGATGACAGCTCAAGAAAGCTGTTGCTTTCCCATCCTTGTCTCTCCCTGGACAAAGTGCCTTTTAGGCATTATCTTGGTTTAAACTAAAGCTTATTTTAACAAAGTTGTGACTACACAGAAAAAAGGATGCTAATTAATCTCTTTTCTTATTGGACCCCTGTAATTTGCAACCTGTAGTTTGCTTTTGAAGAATAAAAACTGATTTTTCTACTATTTTTCTGAATACATGTGCATATGCACCTTATCACATGGCCCTGAAACCATGACTGCGGCAGATTGTTGTAAGAAACTCATGGATCTTTCATAGTGTTAGGAATGGCAGCAGAAAGTCTGCAGAAAATGCAAAGTAATGCTTTTTTTCCTTCTGCACTTTTTTCTGGCAGAGTTGAGAAAAAAGAACGAGCGCGCTTAAAGACAGTAAAATTTAATTCCAAAACAAGAGGAGACAAAGGGGTGAGTTTATGAAATGTTAGTTCCTTTTTCCATTAATGTGAATGGTAACATTTTTCAGTGTTTATGTATATCATTTGAGTTTTATTCAGTTTTAATGACAAAAGCTAAAATTTTTCAAAAACACCAGTTTTACCCTAAAAATTATACTTTAACAAATGCTAGTTTTTATGAACAAGTTTGATTCATTATTGCAGTAATGCCCCCAAGTGTATCTGCAAAACAAGTTCAGAAGTGAGTCTTGTTGCCAATAATATATTGCATAGGGAACCATAAATGGTACTGTGTAGTGATAGGTTAGTTCCAGCAGATAAGTACATTGTTTGAAAGCTGTTGGCCTTTAAGAGTCAAAGACCAGGAGTATTTCTTGGGAAAGTGAATAACTTACTGTTTCATCAAAAATAATAGATATTTTTATTATGTGGGGTACTTTTTTCTTTTATTTAATCATGCAGAAGTCTAAAATAACCTTCTCATTCAGGTGTATATGATGCTAAACCTTCAAATTGAGTTTCCAGAAGAGCTATCTGGGAAAATTCTCATGTGTAGCCCTTGGTTAGCTTATGGATTTTGTTGTTAACACATTAGAAGATGAGAGGTAGTTTATGTAAGTTAAAAGCTGCAGTTTTTCCGACAAAATGGCAAAAATTCACCCCAAAGTCGTATTTAGGAAACCTAAAAAGTTCACTAAATAATTGCAGATGCTAAAAAGATAAGAATTATAACATGCTTATCTGTATAGCCATGCAAAACCGTCTTAGGAAAAATACAGAAAACAAGGAATTAACATACTAAATAGGAGCCTCCACTATTAAATGAGTGTTATTATTTATTCATTAATCAAGACAGAATGCAACTTTATTTTGTTAAAAACTAGTAACCTAAAAGCTTTAGAGAATTAAGGACATATCAGGCCTTTCTTCGTCAATATTTGAATATAGCCAAACTTTTTTTCTAGATTTTAATGTTGTTTTCTGCAATCATTGAGCCCTGCATTTTCACAACCAAATAAAATCCCTGAAATAAGAGTTGTAGCAGATATGTTTCTGAGCGGCTCCTACAACTATTGACATATTACTAAGAAGCACTACCATGCATTTTCAGTTTAAGAAGTTATCTAAGCTGTACTGAAGTATTGACATTTTAGCAATAAGGTTTCTTAGAATTATTTTGGAAGTAAAATTAGCTTAACTTGTATAATTTGTAGAGGTAGAGATAATTATTGCTGCAATGTACAGAGCTGGTCACTGCTGTAGATCTCCAAATATTATTATTAGAGGTGCACCGATGCATTGGTCCATATCATATCGGCACCGGTAAAAGGAAAATTGACATCGGCAATTGGTTTGTTTTGGCTGATGTGGCCAATAATGTTGCCAGTAAATGTTGCATGCATGCGCGCAGTCACAGCACGCACACAGCCAGCCTGCCAGCGTGCCAAGCAGCATCTGGCTGGTAAGTTTGTTGGGGGGGGAAGGGGCATAGGGGGGCAGATGGAGGCCCCTGTGATGAGGGAAGGCATGGGGCAGGGGCAGGCACTGCCTGGCTGAGGCAGTCCGGGAGCCTTCAGGCGAGGCGGGGGGTGGAGCCCACCTGTGTGCGCACCCCCGGGGGAGCCACTGGGGGCATGTGTCTTCTGGATCTGTGCGTGGGGTGAGGGTGGGCTGCCACTGTGAGCTGGGGACGGCGCCTGGCTCTTCCCTGCGGGGGGGGTGGGCTGGTGCCCCTGGTCCCAGCCCACAGTGGCAGCCTGCCCCACACACAGATCCAGATGGCACACGGCCCCCCATGCCTTCCCTGGGGGTGCATGCACAGTGCCCCCCCCGTGTCCCCCGGATGAGCCTTCTCACACCTCCATCCTGTGCCCCGCCTCCCCCTAGATGAGCACCACCTGCTCCTGCCCTACTCCTTCCCTCACTGCAGGGCCCTTGATCTGCCCCCTCCCTATTCCCCTTCCCCCCAACACACTTACCAACCAGACCGGGCTGCATATCAGCAGTCGGATTGGTGTTGGCTCATTTATAATTGGCCATCGGTATTGGCCCATGAAATCTTTAGCGGTGCACCACTAATTACTGTAGTTTTTTTAAATGGCCGGGTCTTTGAGTTCATGAAATCAGGCTTACAAGATGATTAAGAATATGAATATTATGTGGCCGTTATGATATTAGAGGGGGTTATATCCAAAGAAATTTACACGTGAACTTATCTAGTGGGTGAGGAGACTGGAGACCTGTAAAGTTAAGAATATAGAGTGACTGGATTTAGCACCCAAAAAGGAGTCTTACTGTTTTGGGGTTTTCTGCTTTGTTTTAAAATGCCACTTCATTTAACAAATCACAGCAGAGTTTTGAACGGCTAGCAAACCTGTCACAGACTCCAAATATGAAAATAAGCCCTGTGATTTTTCCAGACTTCAGATGCAAATAGCAGCAGTTAAGAGCTGGACTCAGGGTAGCAACTTAGCCAAGTTCTGGGGTTTTGTTTGATTTGCTTTTCTATAAATAGCACTTTGGGAACAAGTATCTTGAGTGACTTCTGATGGCCAAATTCAGTATTTCCTTGGGGACTGCTGTGATAGTTCAGATTTTTTTTTCATTTGGTACGTAAAAATTTACATTAGAATAATATAGCAAGCCAACTGAGGCACAGTCATTCTTAAGCTGATTGTGTATATATATATTTTGGGTTTTATACCACTCAACATTTTAGCATTATGCAATAATTCCTTTTTATATGTGACTTGCAGTTGACAATCTCTGAGGGTGAAAGTTATAAAAATAAAATTAAGTTTATTAGGATGTGTGCGCAAAATGTTACCATGTTTTCTGATGAGACTGCATGCTTTTGTAACTTGTCTACCATAGAACTGTAAGTTAACTGAATTAATCACGTTTTTTAAATAGTATGTTGATGATAGCAGAGTTTGTACACAATCACTGTGTACTAACAGCACCAAAAATATGCATGAAATACTGAGTGGACGTACCAACTACGCTTGCCATTGATATAGAACTGCATTTCTTTTTCTCTAATAACAATTCATGTTCCATTCTTGAACTTGAGAATTTTGCTTTACCTGCAAATTTTTAACTTAGTTTCTCTTTAAAATATCCTTAGTACCCTGCTGTAATGGTCACATTGGTATTTTTCCCTAAGATTTCTGCATGAAAGAAAAATACCTTCAGGGTTAACACACACAGACAAATCATCTTTCAGCAATTCTTATTTGAAGGTTTCTACAGAAAAGAAATAAAGGTCACATTCTTAAACATATGTTACTGATGGACACCATTAAGATGCATGTTCAGCCTGTTCTAAAGAAAATTGAGAAATTGAACCTAGAATGACCATTTTTTGTTTCTTCCTTTTACATATGCATGTCTCTCATGTTGCTTGTGCTACTTACATGCTTACCAATTCTTGCTTTTGTGACCTATCCATAATTTGCAATGGGCTTATTGAAGATTTCATACAATTAACATGCATCTGCAACTAATAAACCACTCTCTCATGCCTTTAAAATCAGGGATCTTGTTCAGAATCAACTTTTTGCTGATCTTTTATTCAAAATCAGTACATCAGTAGATTTAATTTATCTTTTTTGCTATGGAACTGACTCTGACCATTATACATGCAGTATATTCATTATTTAACGTTAGTTTAAGTCAAAATTAACTGCAAGCAAAGTTAAATGAAAGATTAGTTTTATCAAATATTTTTGAAAGCTAAACTAAAGACTGATGATTCTGCTAGAAATGCTTTGCAAAGAACCATTTTATTGTTCTAATTGTCAACAATTGCTAAAAGTCTCTACCAGCTTTAAATTCCACCACAATTTAATGTCACACTTGTCCGTAATGTGTTCCTTTTGAAATTGAGACATTTTGTCAGGCTTCTGTCCGTATGCTGCAATTGTCTGTGTTATGATATCTTTATATATGGAAATCCATGGTACAAGATTTCCTGATCTATTTAGCAAAAATGTACCTGCCCCTTAGGTACTTGCTGCTTTCAGAGAGCCCCGACTCTTAATCCCGATGCCCTGTTTACAAGCAAGTGAGCATGGCTGTGAGAAGTTGCTAGCAGTAGCGTGCTGCTAGGTACAGAAGGGCAGAGCCCTGGGTGTGCCACCTACAGTGTGTGCACACAGGCCGTTTGAGTGCCAGTATTCATGCCCTTATGTTAGGATGACAACTTAGCAGTTTTCTCAGTGGAATACCAGTTTCACTAAGTCACTGATGCCAACCAGTTAAGAGGATGTACAGGTTTCATGTTATTTCCAGGATTCTCCTGTGACAGCCCTCCCATTGGTACCATATGTCTCCTTTACACTTGGTAATATTTTAAAAAAAACATGGAGTATTGTAACCAGAGCAGTGAAGACATCACTGGGTTCTCCAGCATCTGATACTGCCAAGCTAGTCTGTGCTACGCAGATGGCCGGAAAGGCTGCTAATAAAGTAGCAGGGTGCAAACTCCATGATACACTGCAGCTGTTCTCTGAATACATACCAAGTTTACCAGGGTGCTAGTTGTGCACTTGACCTGAAAAAGTTGGCAACAGTTAGAAGTGGTCACGGCCACCTGATTCCATAATTATTGCTATATTTCTTTCCCAGCAAATACTGGTAGAAAAGAAAAAGCACACAGGGCTTATCTTTATCTACTTTGGCATTGCATAAGAAGGAAAGATGAGGTCATGTTGGAGAAAATATAGTGAGCAAACATATGATAGCATTCAAACTCTGGATTCTAGAAATAACTTGTAATAGAAACCCTAAAGCATGAACTGAATACGCTTAATTCTTTGAAAGTGAATGTCTGCTCTGAAAAGTGGCTCTGTTAAGTCTGCATTGCACTATGCTTGGTTCCGAGGGCTCCATTTAGAAGTAAGCCCTGCTCTGACAGTGAAGTTTTGATGCTTTTCTGCTTTTGTGTTATCAGTGGTAACAAGTTCTGCAGGCCAAGCAGTGCCAGCAGTGTCACCTGCACAAACCAGCTGCCTTCACAGGTAGAACTGATGAGAGCCCATCAAACAATTGGCTCAGGGACCAGCGGGAGGACTGGAACCCAGCTGACTCCCAATTAACTGTATTAGTCCTACGCATCTAACAGGAGTAGAATATAGCTTTAAAAAAAAAGTCTTTGTCACTGAACTGAAAAGAACTAACTGTGACTATTCCCAGGGAAAGGACGCTTACAGTAAGATGGCTCCATTTTTGCCTAGTTACTTTGCATAGAACTGGAGTCTGGAGATGGGGCATTTTCCGCTCTAGACATCACTGTTTCATTAGTGAAGGTTGCTGCCTGCCATATGTGGTGTACACGAGGGTGCAGACTCGCACTTCTAAAAGCCCTTATGCAGAAGCTAAATAGTTCAGGTTTAGATGGGCGGGGGGAGTTAAATCCATAATGGATCAGGATAACGCAGCCAAGCTGTAAACAGTTCTTCAGCAGCACCAGAAGTCTTAATTTTTTGTTGGATCGCAGTCAGAGCTCAGACAACTTTTGATCTGTTTGGCCCCCCTTGTGTGCCTTGCACTCCTCCAGGAGAACATTAACAAATGAAGCCAATTTTACACATGCTCCTTGGCTCTGGGGTACAAACTGTCCCAGAACAGAATCCATTTTCTCGAGTGAATTTGCAAGGAATTACTCATCAAAAAAATAAAGGCAAATGCAGAGATTTTAAAAAGAGGTTGCTGGATGTTTTAAGTGGGTAAAGAGACTTTTTTTCTGTCAGATTTTAGCTTTGACCAATCTTTTTTTCTACAAATAGTTAACTATAGCGCCAGCATTGAATTATTTTGGTTTCATATACAGTATCTAATACATGGGAGTATGTCACGAAAGTATTGAGACAAGTTTCAGTATTAGTATTACATCTTTGCCTTTGCAGGCATGTAATGTTGGGAATACCTTTGGAATAATGCCTTGAAAAATACTTTTACAAATGTATATTCAGTGATGACCCATGTATTAGCTAATTGCTGTGACTTGCTCCATTTTGCTTATGAAATGGATTTTGCTTTTGCTGATTTTTAGCAGTCTGCTGGTTCACATTGTTCTTCTCTTCCCAAAAGACCGTAAGGGGCAAATCGCCGGTGGTAGAGCAGCCTTCTGATTGGTTTCAGTAGCAAACATGCAAAGTCCAGAGGTCTCGAGCAAAAACGAAAAGCCCCTTCTATCTCTGAGCCAGGATGATGTTAAAGTCAAATACGCGCTGCATTAAAATGGTTATAGGAGTCAGCTTCCACAAAGCTGCTAGGGCTGGGCCTTTGTACACACAGACATTAGACATCCTTTGTTTTGCCCCTCCTTCTCTTCTTCAGCAGTCATTCAATGACAAGCGTAAAAAGAACCTCTTTTCCCGAAAATTTCCCTTCTACAAGAACAAGGACCAGAGTGAACAGGAAACCAGTGATATTGACCGTAAGTACGTGGCACCTGACGGAGAGAGAGCGCAAGAGCACGTGTAGAAGGGCCTGCTAGTTGCAGTAGGGTGTTACCATGGAGACAGTTCCACGAGCTGCAGCAGGTCAATGGGACGTGAACGGTGTGAATGAACGGCGCGAATGGCAGAGCCGGGCGCGAGCCCCGCGCAGCGGTTTTTGTGCTCCTAAAGCGCACCCAAAGTCCTCTTGCAGTCGAGAGCAACTCTTCGTAGGGGACCGGATGCAGCTGTGGGGTGATCATGAGCGGTGCTTATAACTGTGTCCAGATCCTCCGTTATAGCAAACCAGTAATGGTAATTTCACAAAGACACTGCACTGCAATACAGAAATAATTACTCAGCTTAAATTGTGCTGTAACCGGTTGCTCTAGACTGGTTCATTGGAAGCTATTGAATTTTAGCCTCGTTTTGTTTAAATACTTTCCTAAATTTAGGGTGTTTTCTTTTCATTCTTTATTGTCATCATTGAAACACATGATGCATTTTCAAACATTGAGCTTACTGCTATAATACAAATAAGGTTATTTCTCCAGAGCTTAGACTTCTGCCTCTTCAACCCTGATCGTTCTTCGCCTCAGCCATTTTAAATTTTGCAAGTTGGGTGAAAAGGTGTTTTTCACACCCATCTCCCCCTGTGATGTTCTTGGAACTGTCTCCTTTCGTAGCGCCAGTTTTATATATTACTGACAATTATTTTCTTTGTGATTATCTTTTTATTGCTTGCCCTCTGGGGACTACTCTACAGGAGATCCCTGACGACATGGGATCAAAAGGCCTGAGTAAGTGATCAAAATACTCCCAAGTTACTTTTAACCTCCATCTGCAAACTTAATTTTCTTAGATCCATTTTGACACTGATGGTTTGCTCGGCTGGCATAAAGGAGGTTGATTATTTCACAGGGGTTTATAGGCTTCTCCTTATTTGCAACGTTTTGGGGTTTTTCTGTCTTTCAGAGTTTGCTACTTCATTACATTCATGCGAAAACCATATTTTATTTTTTATTCAGAAGCTTACCCACATATTTTACATTGTAGGTAATAACTTGTCTGTGAACTTGTTGGCGTACTATTTTATGGCATTGATTTGTTTTTACATTGGCTTTGTCTTTTATGTTCTTTTAATTAACCTATAACATTCTGCAGTAATGATCAAAACCACTGCAGTAATGTTCATTAGATGTAGATTTTTAATCATCATTCTAGAACATTGTATTTTAAAGGCTGGTACTGCTAAAATGACTATGCACATTTTTAAAATATCAACTGTAAAAATAGCTTCATTTTTCTTCCTTGGAAAACTTATTCTGACTGATTTAGGTGAAGGTTTTATCCCCTGCCTGATCTAGCTTGGCTTTTATGAGGCGCTCACATGAAAAGACTGACTGTGTGGTAAGGTGGTTAACATGTGTCCTGTGAGCATTACGGACTGTTCTGACAAAACCAGATCTGTTTTATTACATGTAAGGGTATTAACACTGGGCATAATACAGAGGTAGTATCAGTTGTGATGCCCATGTTCTGCATATTTAATTAGCAATTTAAATTACATTAAGCTTTCTAGACTACCAGCTGCTCCTCTTAGCCAGTCTTTGTTGGTTTGTGCAGGTGGGCACTACGGAAACGGGAGTCCAGAAAGGGGTGAAATTAGCAAGTAAAATGAAAAGTGACAGGCCTCAGTGAAAATGGCGCGTCAGGTGTATCTTGCAGTCTCACCGCTGAAATTCAACCCTGCAACTCCTGTGCCTTGAAAGTTTCTGTCCGTCACCAGACTGCCACATTACCCATTATTCCAAATAACTGGTACATTGTGTCCCCAGGTTATACATTGCTTGCCACATCTGCCTCAGCATGCAATTCTTTCATAGCCTTTCTGGAGAACATGGGATTGTAGGAAAATTGGGCTGGAAGGGACCTCACAAGATCATCTCGTCCAGCCCCCTACTCAAGGCAAGGTCATCCCCGACTAAACCACCCCAGCCAAGCGTCTCTCTAACCTGGTTTTGAACGCTTCCAGGCATGGAGATTCCACAAGTTCCCTTGGCCAGTGTCTGACCACCCTGAGAGTCAGAAAGGTCCTCCTAATCTCTGGCCTAAAAGTGCCTTGCTGCGGTTTGAGGCTGTTGCTTCTAGTCCTGTCCCCTACAGCAATAGAGAAAAGCCCGTCTCCATCCTCTGCGTAATCACCTTTCAGGTATTTGATGGCTATAATCCATTCCCCCTTCAATCTTCTCTTCTCTAGGCTAAACAACCTTGTTCTTTCAGCCTTTTCTCATCAGTCTCGCCTCCCAGGCCCTTAATAATTATTGTTGTCTTGCACTAGACTCTTTCCAAACTTTCCACATATTCCCTGAAGTGTAGGGCCCAAAACTGGACACAGTACTGAGGGAAGGCCTCACCAGCCCTGAATAGAGCAGAAGATTCACTTCCCTTGCTTTGCAAGTGGCATGCCTGTTAATACAGCCCAGGGTGCTGTTGGCTTTTCTTGCATCAAGAGCACTCGGTTGGCTCATAGTCAGATTGTGGTCCACTGCAGCCCCAGGTCCTTGTCTGCCGTATTGCAGCCCAGCTAGTTTTTCCCCACTCTGTATTTGTGCATGCGTTTATTCCATCCCGAGTGCAGGACTTTGCGCTTGTCCTTGTTGAATCTCATCTGATTGATTGCAGATTGTTTCTCCCGCTATACAGGTCATTCTGGATCCTAGTCCTGACCTTCAGTGCATCTGCAAGTCCACCAGACTTGGTGTCATCCACAGATTTGCAAAGTGTGCGCTGAAATCCAACATCCAAATCATTAATGAAGATGTTGAACAATACAGGACCCAGGGCAAGACCCCTGGGAAACCCCACTTGGTACCTCTTCCCAACTAGACATTGAGCCGTTGAAGGCAACACATCGAGTTCTGTGGTCCAACCAGTTACATATCCACCTCACAGTACTTTAATCTAGTCTGTATTTCCTTAGCTTGTTAATGAAGATGTCAAAAGCCTTGCTAAAGTCAAGGTGCATTGCATCCACTGCTCTCCCCTCATCCGCAGGGCTTGTCAACTTTATCATACAAGGAAATCACATTGTTCAGGCATGACTTGTTCCTGGTGAATCCACGCTGACTGTTCCTGATCACCGTGTTCTCCTCTAGGTCCTTCACAGGGGATTCCTCGAGGACCTGTTCCAGTATCTTTCCAGGTATATGAGTCAGGCAGACTGGTTTGTAGTTTCCCCGTATCCTCCTTCCCTTTCTTAAACAAGGGCACTATATTTGTCCTTTTCCAGTTATCCAGCACCTCATCCGACCTCCGTGAGTTCTTAAAAAGGATAGATAATAGCTTTAAAATTACCTCAGCCAATTCCTTCTGTAGTCTTGGATATATCCCTTCCAGCCCTGCCAACTCAAAAGCATCCAGCTTCCTTAAGTAATCCCTCACCTAGTCTGCCACTACTCTCTAGGCTGTCTTGTTCCCTGTCTCTGCTGCCAAGTGCACTCATCAGCTGGTAGCTGCACCTGTTTGTGAGAACTGAAGTTAAAAAAGGCATTAAATGCTTCAGCCTTCTCTGTATCATCTGCAACTGGATTGCCTTCCGCATCCCACAAGGGACCTAAGGAATCTCTGATCTTGCTCTTACATTTGATATACCTAGAGAGTCCCTTTTTATTGCCTGTTATGTCCTTTGGCAGCTGCATCCCAAATCTGTGCCTTGGCCTTCCTAATTTTCCTCTTGCATGTCTGTGCAATTCTTATACTCTTCCCTAGTACTATCATCAAATTTCCACTTTTTATAGGATTCTTTTTTGAGTATCAGCTTCTTGAAGGGATTTCTGTTTGCAGTAAGCATAATTTATTTCTGTTGCGAACACCCTTCATGGTTGATTGCGGTAAATAAAATAGGAACAGGTCTATGTCAGTTAGTTCACATGAACATTTGGAAATGTCATGATCTGTTTTGCCATGCAGAAATAAAGTGAAAAACTCAATTTGGGTAGGCTCTTATCATTGTAGTGATATTAGTATCCTCCTTTAGAAAATGCCTTTTTGTCCTGGAACACGCTTTTTTCACATGTATTAAAAATGTTAAGCACTTTACCTGTCGTATACAGCCTATAACTTAACTTTCTCATGTTTGCTTACCGTTGCAGTCTTGTTCCAAACATAAATTCCACCCTGCAAATTGCATTGTCTCTTTCTGCATCAGGGACTGGCACCACTTCTTCAAGCCGTGGGCCAGACCAACCTGGCTCCGATCCAGCCCAGGTAGCCTGGTGGCACGTCTCGGTGTACGTAGAGGGGGGTGGGTTTTCCCTGCACCCTCACTGAGCCATGCAGCTGAGAGCTGCCTCTACCTCTAAAACCTTCTTCCATGCTGTTCCTGCTTCTCCCTGCCAGCTGGGATCGGTACTCTCATCCAGCCTTGGGGAGGGGACATGAGGGGGCAGAGTGGCAGCGGTGCAGACAAAGCTTCCAAGTCCCTGGAAATTTCGCTCCTCGCTGCTTGGGCCCAGCATTGGCATGGGCACAAGCAATGCCCTTTTAAATTTGTGGACCAAATCTAGTGTCTCAGTGGGCTGAATCTGGCCCGCAGGCCATATGTTTCCAACTCCTATGCTACATGATTTTGTAGTGAAGGCGTCACATTGAATTTGTGACGTTATGAATACTGACGTTGACAAGTTGCAATACCATAAGCACAGGCTTAGTCGTTCGCTCTAAGATCAACTAAGATGGAAGCTGGCTGGCAAGGGATGGAGAAAATTCTTGGGAAAAAAACTTGCATATTGTTCTTTAGGTGAAATCTTTAGGTGAAAACAAAGGAAACAGAAAGACTGTAAACTACCTTCTGCTTCTGTATTTTGAGTGCATATCAGTCCAATTTAATGTGTGCTGTACATTTGAATACTGTAATCATGACAAATATTATTCACAAAATAAAGGTAGAGACATAAGTTACATTCCAGTTTAGTAACTGACTCAACACTGGAATACACTAGTGGTAAAACACTAAAAGTGGTAAAGTTCACTGTAAGGTCTAGTAGCGCTAGACTGATGTTGTAACCATGATGATCCAGGAATCGTGCCCGAGGCAAGGATTTCTTTGGGTGAGATCTTTTATTGGACTGGCTGCATAGTTAGGGTAGAGTTGGACAAACTTCAGAATTTTCCACGTCAGAGGAGTAAAAGCCAGTACAGCATAGTAAGGTGCCACATTCGTGCAGGATATTTGGCTGAATGTAATTCGGTCCTCCTTTGAGCAGGGCGTTGGACTAGATGACCTCCTGAAGTCCCAACTCTTTTCCATGATTTTGTATTAATCTAATAACTAAACATAATACTTTAAAAAATAAACAGAATACAGTTAGTGAAATACATTGGTTGGTAGAATACATGTAAGATCCAAATAGATACTCGGTGCAAGACTTTTAAAGGATCTTAAAAGCAAAGCAAAAACAAACCGGGTAATTCTGCAGGATATCTCATATATTCCTTAATAACATAAAAGGTGGCCTCTTGCTGAACCCTGCGCTTGCGTAGTAGACCCTCGATGCTTTCAGAGTTCAGTTTGCAAAGCCCCCTGTGAAGGTAAGGTTTGCAGCGTAACCGGGGAATGTAGAATCGCAGCGAGCAGCTCTCTGGGACTGGTGAGGTGCACCAGCCGAGTGCCACGGTGATCGTCCCCGAAGTAAAAAGCACAGGAAACAGCCGAGTAGCTCGTGTTAGTATGGCACCCAGCTGTGAATGAAGGGGGTTGCAAACCACCCCTATAGGAAGGGTCTGGTTTCCGCTGTACTTTGTTATTTTCAGCTGCTGGACTCAGACTCTCTGTGGTGCTCAATAAACTGTCGGCACAACGTTTTCTGCCTTAGTTGAAAGCCTTAGAGAGGCCATCCTGCAGTTCTTGCTCAACAAAAGTCAGCTTAAAGTTCATGAATAAAAATTTCAGAATCAGGCATGCGATGTGAATCTGAATTTTTTTTGTGGCCTTTTTTGTTCTACTTAATGGTTTCCTTTTTATTAATCAATGTTTTTCTATATAATTCAGCTAAAGGATAAGAGGGATACTTTGAGTTCTCTATGCATTATCTGTTTGGCTCAGCACTCTCAGTGATGTCGGTATTGTTGTGTCTTGATTATTTTTGTCAACTTGTTTTCCTTTAAGTTCACGTCTTAGTATTTTTCCTTATTTTTCCATTTTGTGTTGCAATTTCAGAGCATGTTACCTCTAATGCCAGCGATAGTGAAAGTAGTTACCGTAAGTGTTTTAAGTTTTTATTTTGGCTCTTTGTTCATGCCTTTCCGTTTGGGTTTGTCTGGGTATTTTTTCCAGGTATTTGCATGTTTCATAAAATATTACTCCTAATCAGATGGAGGCAAAATCCAAAAGTACTGCTTATGGACCTTAAATATTTTAATAGTTTAATTAAAACAATGCAGTTTCTGTGTGAACATTGTTATTTTGATTGACGCGTGGCTTATTTCAGTTTAAGATAAGACCATTACTAATCAACTCAAACTGAACCAAAATCAGCCTGGTTTAAACCAAATAAGAGCTTCCAGAGTTGGGGTTTTTTTGCCAGTTGCATGAAATCAGTTTTAAAATCATATCTTTAATTACACTGGTGCATCTTTCTAATTTAGAGAGACCCTTAATAAGTTTTATATTAAGTTATTTAAAAATGCTTCCTAATAAAAAATAGAGCAGTCATGTAGTTAAATATGGAGCATTCTCTTTTTAAAAGCAGGATGTGTTAATACCTTAAAGGAAGGTGTGTGGGGAGTGGGCATTTACTTCTCCTACCTTTGCAGCTTTCAGCCTTTACTAGTTTTGTCAAATATGGATACTTATTTTCAGTCTTCAAAGGATAAATCGTGTATAAATGGAATTTACCCCAGAGTTAATATTGTTACATGAAGCCACCAGACTGTGTCACTCTTAAGTGCATGATGAACATGAACAGATAGCCAGATTATTAGTGCATTTTTGCTTGTATTGCAGTCAGCTTGCCTTCTAAGATGCACAGCGTGCGCAGGCACACTCATGCTGCGCTGCCAGGCGCGCCTGCATGGCCGCGCACGCCGCACAGCTTAGAGGGGATGCTGATTGCAGTAGCACCATAGGGCTGTCTTGCGCTAACCACAGCACAAAGTCTAAAAGCTTTTAAAAATTAGGGCCTCAGTCTTGCTCTTTATTCCACATGGACAGGCCTCAGGGAAGTTAGAGGCCCCTGGTGGGCACAGAAATTTCCTACACACGCTGGGTGCATCTACACATTCATGAATGCACCGTAGTTACTGTGCATTAAGTTTAGTACTTGGATAACCAAGTACCAAATCAACACACAGTAACTTGTGCTACTGCACAGTAGCGCCAGCACGCGGATTTTTTCAAACGCTAACTGTGCAGTAGCCTAGTACTACTGTGCGGTAGCGTATTAGCATGGGTTTTGCCCGGCACACTACTACACACTTATTAGGTTACTGAGCAGTTAGCATCTCATGTAGAGGCGCCCACTGACATGCCAGATCAGGGCCTAGGTTAGAACAGAACAGAACAGATGGAGAAAATGGAGGGGAAGCGGAAATGGAGTGACAGAGCAGATGGCTGTATGACCAGCATATCTTGGGGCAGAAAATGCAAGCCGTAGTTCACAGCCACATTTACCAACTGAATGCTTAAGCAGCACTCCAGAACCTGTTGTTAGTTAAATGTAGGTGAATAAGGAGGGGAGTGAGTCTGTAGCAGGTAAATTAGCTACTGATTCTTTGAAAGGAATATTTCCAGGTCAAATTTGACCAAGAAAAGTGGATTGTTACTAATAGGAATATGATTAATGGAAAAAAATTTAAGCAATGAATATTTTTCATCTGTATTTGTAACTGACACTGCTGAAGTCATGAAAACAATGAAAACGTAATGTGCTGGAACAGCGCTTCTCCGTGTGAGCGCTGCAGGGTGCTGCGCGGTGTTGGTAGTGCTAGGCATGCAGACATCCCGGCGCGACCTGGAGGGTAAACCTCGAGATTCAAATCGGAATCCAGCGTCTCGGAAACATCCTGACCTATTTCTGAGTTCTTTGTGACAGGAGAATTGCTTCATAGTTTTTCCAGTCAAAAACCAGGTGAAAGCTAAGAGCGGGCGCTTTGGGGGGTGCCGAGACCCATAGGACTACAACTTAATTGCAGATAAAAGTGAAACTGGCTAGTTTTTGCACTCCAAGTAATACAAGATATAAACGGCAGGATTGAAAGGTCCCTAGCTCTTTATAACTGCTTGTGTTTTACTTCAATTTATTTCATTAAATTTATTTAGTTTTAATTTATTGTGTTGGTGACACAGGTAAAGGCAAATCATCTTTAAATACTGTTTTTCTGAACTCACATTTTCTCCTTAACTGGAACTGCAGTTACGCCTCAGGGCTTCTGTTTATACTTATGATAATTGGTTCCTTTTAGGTGCTGGAAGGTTGCCTTTGTTCTTGATTGGCAAGAAACCTAAACGCATACAAGTTTGATGACATTTCTTGTCTGAATATGTCAATTCTGAACAATGACTTTTAATTAAAATGACCTCTTTCTTCTTACTGCTTTCTAATATGAAAGTTATCTTGATTACAGATGAGTATGGTTGTTCCAAAGGTCCATTTTATTAATATCTGTTTTGCTAAAGCATTTAACCATATTGACAATATATACTTTTTTGCCCTCAATGAATGCGTGTTCTGTATATCTTATTGTATCACTGTTCTAATGTTTTGCCTCACTGAGTTTCTACTTTGTAGCAAAGTGAATTCCTGCAAAACGTATTTGATTAATTATTAGTTGGAGTCCCTTGTAGATGAGTTGATAGCTGAGTGGCATCCTATTGCTTTCTCTGTAGCCTGAGAGGCTCCAAAAGTATATACTGTCTTTCTTCAAACCCATTTGCATGAGTTACTTTTGAGGTGTTAAATTATCCAAGTTGCATGGTTTTCTTCTCCCTAACTTGTAACATGCTTCTCAACTGCAACAACTACAAAAGTTTCAAGCTGATGGGCATTCATCTATTGCTATGATAGATTCTGAGCACAAAAGAGCCTGAAAGCAAAGGTAATTCCTCATGAGTTCACACACTTCAAAATCAAAACATGCATCCTCTTGTTCTGCAAAAGGAAGAGGGCAGGGGAAATATTTATAGCAATATATGAATTTAGAAAGACTTATAGCTGCCATCCTTTTCTACAGGAGTTGTATACTGCAGCCCTAAGGCAGCTTACACATGTGTATCCTGAACTTCAAAGAACTTTTTTTGAAGTAGCCAGGCAAGTTGTCAGAGTTGTATAGCTTTATTTGAACGCCGAGGCCACGTCCACATGAGTGTGGATGTTTGTTTCCCCAGGGACAAGGAGCAGTGACGCACCTTGCACCACCACTGCTTGTCCCCATGGAACGCCTGTGCCACACACGCTTTGGCGTGCAGAAAGTTACCCCAGGTGGGGTAGCTGAGGCTGGGGCCAGCACTGTGCTGGCTCCAGCAGCCCTACCTGGGGACCTCCTGGGGCTGTAGCAGAGGTGATTCTGCCGCACGGAGCCTGGCTAGCAACCAGTGCAGGGCGGCTCTGCTTTTGAGCGGCATGCACTGCCCATGTGCACTGTTCTGCTTTTCTTTCCGTGGGTTTTTTTTTTGAGCCCTGGATATCCAGGAGTCAGAAATACCCACAGAAAAAATGTGGAGCAGTGCACGCATGGGCAGGGCTCTCTTGCAGTGCGAAGAACATTTGAATGTGCAGTATGTGGCACCACAGACATGTTTGCAGCACCACATACCACACGGTCACGCTGGTCTGGACACGGCCCTTGGCTGCATCCCCACATGCAAGAGCATGCATTTGCTGTGGCAACAATAGCCCAAATTTGTGCTGCTGCTTTTTGCTACTGTGCACACCTCCACATGTAGGGTTTGGGCCAGGACAACTTGTCCTGGCTGGAGTAGGGCTGGACCCAAAAGCCTTACCTAGGGTCCAGTCCAGACACTCAGAGCCTGGCCAGCAGTCAGAGGGTGGCCCTGGCCAGCTAGGTTTCATTTTTGGTGGCACATGCTACTGCTGCTGCACGTGCAGCACTTTTTCTGTTGGTTTTTTGGACACCAGGATGTCCTTTCAATAAAGGCATATTTGTTAATAAGCACTGAATATTTTAATAGAGATGGCAACTGAAGTATTTCAAATACTTGCATTTAACATTTCAAAAGCTTGCAGCCTTTGAAGATCAAAATTATTTTATTTTATTTCATTCACTGCTGACTAGCTTTCTGCAGCTGAGAACAGTATATTACTGTTATTAAAATATTTTTCCAAGTTCACTTAAAAAAAATGTTATATATAAAATGTAATTAGGTCTTTAGCATAAACAGGAAGATAATGTCTGTTTTCTTAATTAAGGGATATAGCATTTGAAGATTATTTTGACAATATATTAGTGAAAGAATTGCAGCAGATTAAGGCAGTGATGTACATGAACTTTTATGTAAATGACAAGATCTTGGTCTCGTGCTGGCTACCAAGCGTAGAAAATATTCTTAATGCAAGTGCTTCTGCTAGCAGTGAATGACAATGTGCATGGGTTTTGTTTTTTAACACATTTGCAAGAGCATACTGCTTAACAATACTGCTTAAAATTTCTATTCTCATGCTTGCTATAAATTTAACATGCTGATATGTCTCATGAATAATTATCATGCTGTAAATAAAATGCCATGTATATCGTGTTTATTTTATAATGGAAAAGGCAACTATTCCCATTTCATATTTTGTTTAGCCAATCTGTGTGACTTTATAGTTTACCACTTTATAGAGAGCTTCCGTCATCAGTACTGTCATCATCTATATATTTGGAGGATTGTCTGTATCTTATTTTCCTTCCTTAAAGGGATACACTTTTAAACATACCAGGGTTTTTTTAAATACCTTCTTAACACTTCAGTATGTTTCCTTATGTATGTATTTAACTTTTAGGTGGCCAGGAAGAATATGTCTTGTCTTATGAACCAGTCAACCAGCAAGAAGGTTTGTAGAACATCTTAATATATTAACTGAATTATTGAAATATTCCTTTGCGTTCTTACAAATCGAATACCATAAAGATTCTAATATTATAAAAGCCTAAGTCTGTCTGTCTGTCCGTCCGTAACGCTTTATTCACGCTCTAATTGGCTGACAAGCGGCCAGTCAGTGTGAGAACAATCATTCGACTGGGACCTGGCGGCATGGTGGAGTGCCGGCATGATGCTGGGGACAAGGGGGCTGCAGCGGTGGGGGGGGGGGAACGAGCCCAGACCCCAAGCAGCAGGAGGGAAGGGGGGAGTGGGCCCAGATGGGGGTGGCACGGGGCTCCATCCCCGCCCACTCTGCCCCCCCTCCCCTCCCAGTCATTCTTGATGGGCAGTTGGCGAGTGATGTAATATTGTCGTTGAGTATTTTAGTACCGCTAATCCAGTTCATAAAATATGGAAATAATTAATTACAGTTGTAAAATAATTTACTGTGAAATCTGAAGAAGTGCTAATAAATCTAACTCCCATGTCATCTCTATTTACCGTTGACTTTATACACCGGAAGATGTTACTTGAATATGAGTTTTATAAGGTCTAAGGACTTGGTGGTTTGTAATACTCGAGGACCTCGCCACCTGCCCACGTTCCATTTCCAGTTCGCGACAGTGTCGAAGTCTGTTGCTGAATAGCGGGTGCTGAGCAAGCCTGGACTGTGGCATTTTTATTTCGATTTCTGGAGGGGAGCTCTTGGGTGATGAGCTCTTCAGAAAAATCTGTTGTTCAGGCACTTAAGTGACTTGAAGATGTGAAGTCCTCAGCACAACTTCCATTGGCCTCATAATTTCTCCCTCCAGAAATGTATCTCTTAAGCCAGTGGTGGGCAACTATTTCAGCTGGAGGGCTGCTTAACGAGTCCAGAGTGGGTGCGGGGCGTGCCAGGCTGTGGCTGTGCTCACGAGTGCCCCCCCCAGTACTGTGGGGCTGGGGCCAGTGGCCATGGCAGCCAGAAGGAGCCCCCGCCACCTGGGCTACCTAGAAAGGCAGTGCCGCTGCAGAGCCACCCCGACGGTGCTGCATGCCCAGGGGGTGGCAGGACATGCCACGGGCCGGACGGGGCCTGGGCCAGGCAGGGCTGAGGAACCGAACAAAGTCCCTCTGTGGACCATATTTTGCCCATCTCCGTCTTAGGGCTAGGTTAAAGTTGGCATTGTGACAAAGATTGTTTTGCTGAAATTTATGTAACGAGTGCAAGGATTATGTTCGGCAACTGATGTCTCACTTGACATAATTATATTGTCTCACGAGACAGACAGATGCCTGCTAGTATTAATGAGTGCACTATGTAAAACATGTTATCAATTTATCTTTAATAGTCAATTATACTCGGCCTGTGATTGTCTTGGGACCCATGAAAGACAGAATAAATGATGATCTGATCTCAGAATTTCCAGACAAGTTTGGATCGTGCGTTCCACGTAAGTCCCAAGAAATACGGTGGTGGTTCTAGATTGGATGTGGCCTGTACTAGTCTAGTGTTATCTCTCTCTGTTCAGCTCAAGAATGTTTATATCATAACATGTTCACTTCACAGAAGCTTTTTAGTACTAATTTATGTTCGCTACTCATTTGTGACAAATTAAAGGTATTCTCTGGAAGTATTTGTTTCCTGGTATTGTTAAAAAAACAAAACAAAGCAAAAAAAAAAAAACTTTTAATTTGTGCCAATTCTTGCATCTTCCTGCTTAATGAACATTTACCTGTCCTTAAAGATACTACCAGACCAAAGCGAGATTATGAGGTGGATGGAAGGGATTACCATTTTGTCACTTCTCGAGAGCAGATGGAGAAGGACATTCAGGATCATAAATTCATAGAAGCTGGTCAGTACAACAATCACCTTTATGGGACAAGTGTCCAGTCAGTACGTGAAGTAGCAGAAAAGGTGAGATTTGTGCCAGTTTCTCGCTTCCATATCTTGAACTGATATTTTTTCATATACGTTTGGGCAAGAGCCCACGTCAACTTTCTATCCTGATGTCTCACACACACACACACGTACGTACGTACGTACGTATGTCATGAGATCTGCCCACCATCACCCCTGACTTGTCTGGATTCACCTTTGATCGGCTCCCCTGCATCTAGTCCCCCGCTACGGCCAGACAGCAGCTGGGTACTCATAGGGTGGTAAAATCCTTGGTGCTTTTGAAATCAATGGCAAAACTCTCATTGACTTCAGTGGGGTGATGTTTTCATTTCTAAATTGTACATGTTATGCCCATCTGTGATTAAGACGACTTGGCACATTGGCTTTTTCCTCTCTTTTTCTTTCTCCCCTACTTCAGGGTAAACACTGCATTCTGGACGTCTCTGGTAATGCAATCAAGAGATTGCAGATTGCCCAGCTGTACCCAATCTCCATTTTTATTAAACCCAAATCCGTGGAAAATATCATGTAAGTAAAACCAATGTACCTGAAGCTGAAATTGTTTCAAAGACTGTCACGGTCCCTGACTAACCAGTGGCAAGTCATTTAAAAGATGACGTAGAACTTGCTCTGTAAAATGTAGTTGTTTATTTTAAGTGGTTAATTTACGTAGCTGGATTTCTAAGAGGAGCGTTTAAAACAGGTTTTACATTTAGACTGCTGGGGTTTTCCAGCCTGAATCCTAGTGTCTACTCGATTCCAAGTATGGCCGTGCCGACTTACCTCTCTCATTGTAACCGTGTGCTAAGGTCTCTCTTCAGGAGTCGATAGCCGTATCCTGTTGCTAAATCGGTCTTTTCTTAGGATTTGTATTCAAAAGGCAGTCAAACACCTTGTTTAAGGAGACCCCCCAATATTTTTTGCTGCTGATTATTTTATAATATTCATCTCAGGGAAATGAATAAACGTTTAACAGAGGAGCAGGCCAGGAAGACTTTTGAGAGAGCCATGAAACTGGAGCAAGAATTTACTGAACATTTCACAGGTTTGTATCCCCCACGACTGTTCCCTTCATGGAGCTGGGATGTTACTGCCTAAAACTGTCTCACCAGAATCAGATATACTCTGGCTCTGCCTTTTGTTCCCAGTACAGATGATTTTATATAGTGTTAAAACCATTGCAATGCACTTAATGAATTAACTTTTGGACAAAGGTTTTAATCTTTACTTGCGGTAAAACTTAATTTATGTATTAAAGCTTGGAGTGTTTACCTCTTGCCAACTGCTGGTCCTAGAAATGCTACCTGTATTTATATATTCACTGCTTAAAAGTTTTGCTAGTACAGAGTTAAGTGCCCATAGATGTCTCTCACCTTTGCAAAGCAGCTCAGAAAACCAGAAAACAGTCACAGAGTCAGGCAGTACAGGCAGCTCCACCTCCCCACCCAGGATGCCATCGTCCCCGTGGCGGCTCTTGACTGTAACTCTGGTTTCTGGTTTTCACAAGTTTAGATTGCTCATCCAGGCCTCGTTTAAGTGTGTCCAGATCACCTGTTCCGGTGGTGCCTGTAGCCCTACTGGGCAACCAGAACATAGTCTGTCTGGACTTTGGGAAGGCCTCCGACACTGTCTCTCACCTCATCCTCATTAAAAAATTAGACGACTTTGACGTCAATGCCTACACAGTCAGATGGGTCACAAATTGGCTGGAGGGCCGCACCCCGAGAGTGGTGGTGGACGGGTCATTTTCGACCTGGAGGGACGTGGGCAGTGGGGTCCCCCAGGGCTCGGTCCTCGGACCCGTGCTGTTCAACATCTTCATCAGTGACTTGGACGAGGGGGTGAAAAGCACCTTGTTCAAGTTCGCGGACGACACTAAGATGTGGGGAGAAGTGGGCACACTGGAGGAGAGGGACAGGCTGCAATCAGATCTAGACAGGTTACAGGGGTGGGCGGGTGAGAACAGGATGGGTTTCAACACTGACAAGTGCAAGGTGCTGCACCTGGGGAGGAAGACCCAGCAACAGACCTACAGGCTGGGGAACTCCCTTCTCATCAGTGCAAAGGCAGAAAAGGATCTTGGAGTCATTATCGATTCCAAGATGAACCTGGGCCGGCAGTGTGGGGACGCGGTCAGGAAGGCCAACCGCACCTTGTCGTGCATCCACAGATGCATCTCGAGCAGGGCCAAGGAGGTGATCCTCCCCCTCTACGCGGCACTGGTCAGGCCACAGCTGGAGTACTGCGTCCAGTTCCGGGCGCCGCACTTCAGGAGGGATGTGGACAGCATGGAGAGGGTCCAGAGGAGGCCACCCACGTGGTCGGGGGCAGCAGGGCAGGCCCTATGAGGAGAGGCAATGGGACCTGAACCTGTTCAGCCTCCACAAGAGAAGGCCGAGGAGGGACCTACTGGCCGTCTATAAACTAGTCAGGGGGGACCAGCAGGCACTGGGGGAGTCCCTGCTCCCCCGAGCACTGCCAGGAGTAACAAGGAATAACGGCCATAAGTTGATTGACAGTAGGTTCAGGCTACACATCAGGAGGCACTGTTTCACAGTCAGGGCGGCTAGGATCTGGAACCAACTTCCAAGAGAAGTGGTGCTCGCTCCTACCCTGGGGGTCTTCAAAAGGAGGCTGGATAATCACCTAGCTGGGGTCATTTGACCCCAGCATCCTTTCCTGCCCACGGCAGGGGGTCGGACTTGATGATCTGCTCAGGTCCCTTCCGACCCGACCAACTATGAGACAACTATGAAACACTGTAAAGTTTTGAGACATTTAATTTCTTTCTTGATTATTTTTTTAAGGAGAAAGATCCCAGCCCTCTCTGTCCACTACCCATGGCCCCTTGCCCATCTCCAACACCACTGGCTGTATGCCCATCCCTTTGCTGCCTCTTGCTATCTCCTCACCCCATTGCCATCAGTGCAGCATGGCCTGGCTCTT